AAAATACTAATAACGAAAAAAGCAGGAATGAAATGATTATAAATTCTTTCGACTTGTTTACAGACAATTCGTTGACTAGTATAAACACAGAACAGAAGTATCTACTACCCTTATTCAAAGTTAAACAAGACGACAATGTTAACTGAGCTCAATCCTAAAGCAGTGAAAATTTTTCTATCTGATTAGATGTTCGATACTGTATATAAAATAAAGTTTTACTGCCTCGGAGATTCTAAATAAATTATACGTGTCTCCTCTCCAGGACTGTGGTTTTTTATCCGAGTCTTTCAATTTACTCGTATAAATTCGAATCGATTGTGCAATAAATTACATAACCGGGGGACTTTGTCCATAGCGAAACGTGAAAATTCATTCTTGTGATGTCGTATAATGTTTTATACATTTTAGCTTTGTTTACTATTTTCCGCCATTTATTCATTCGTGTTGTTTTTGCTTTTTTTATCATTACAGAAATACCAAAACCTTCTTTAGCCCCAAAAAGTGCGTCCGAACTCAACCGTGCAAATAAAGAAGGTAAGTCCAAGTCACCATGTCTGCTTATATCAAGCAATCATAACAATAATATTTTAACAATTTACAACATGCATATTTGAATGAACAAATATGSTATATTATAGAAGATTGATTATCTTCTATCTGTAAATAGTTGCCTACTAGTATTTAAAATTAAAAATTAAAACCAACATTAAAATGTGCATTTTTTTAATGCCTATTTTAACCTAGCCCTAAACATTTCTCGATTAGTCGATTAGTTGTATTTAATTCATATTTTAAACGACTAGGTACATGAAAATATTAAAATAATAGTCTTATATTATAATATTTATATTCATATTATTTCATTTAAGAATTTAAAATGCTATACAAAGAAATATTATTAAATTCATCAAAATCAAATTTGAAAATAAGTAAATTGAAGATATTCAATTTATTTACAATGTATACAATTTAACCACTAATAAATTAAAATTTATAATAATATACAATATATTCATAATTAAATAAAAAATATTTTTAAAAGTTAAAAATTAATTTATAAACAATAAAAAATAGCTAAAAACATGTTCTTGTTATAAAATAATTATACCCAAACCCAATTGCTTTTAAWTCAGTTTAATACTAATTGTCGACTAATTATCTACAAACTACATGACTATGAAACATAATATTTAATATGTTATGTTTACATGCATAAATGTATTGTTCTATAATATGTAATAATAATATAAAATAATATATTACTCTACAAAATGTCATGTTATAAAAACCTTTTCTGATAATTTTATTTTTATACAAATACAAAATTGAATATATTAAATTATCAAACCATATTTATCATAATAAAAATATAAAAACTAAAATCATTTGTATCGATAAATGTAATAACACTAATAACTAATATAATTTTTATTGAATAATAGTAAATTTAATAGGTAGATTGTTAACCATTTTATAAATGCGTAGTTACTTTTCATTTCTATATATTACATAATTATACATTATATATATCCAATGGCCAATGAATATTACTTTCCAACCTAAATATTCGTATCATCTGATTTTTATATGAGGTCCCAGCTTTTGTGTAAATAAAATKTATGTATAGTTTCTCAAAAGACCCAAAACTTTCTTGATGTAATAGTTCAATAATACAGAATTTCTATAATAATAATATATATTATTTGCCGTATATTGCATTTAACTACTATAATACATAAAAATATATTCAAATCTAGTAAGACATATAATTTCTGTTAGTACATCATACAATAAATAATTATGTTAACTTCTGAGCGGAGCGATAAATTATAATATAAAAAATAAATATTGGTTACATCACAATGATATCGTGTTTTTTAAATTTTTTGTATCGTATAAACCACATTTTACAGAATAAAATATGTTCTGATATTTTCCATTTTTGAGGATGGTTTCTGATAAAAAATTTKATTCATATTTATCYAGTAATTTTGGAGGAGATAAGAGTTTAAAAGTAAAATTTTCGATATAAATTGCCAAGACTGGAAAATAGAATAAAAATTTCCTGATAAGTTGTTCTTACAAAAACTTAAAAATATTTGCAATTTTTTTTATAGACATTTTAAGTTCGAGTACCTATGAAATTGAATATTTAAATGAAAAGTAACACCATGATTACATATTTTAATTGTTATTCAAAAAATGTTATTCGTTGCGAGTTTTATATTTTCAGCGTTACGTTTATCTTTATTTACTTTTTATGATTAAGATGAACTTCCAAATTTTTACACCACAAACCTAATCATATCATTCTTCTATTTATAATTAATTTTCAAATTAATAACAGCTGTGTA